GCATGGCCGGCGCCAGGCACCACGGCCACGCGGTGCCCAGGGAGGTGCCGCAGGCTCTGCAGGGCCTGGGGACCCAGGCGTGTGTCACGGTCACCATACAGGATCAGGGTGGGCGTCTTGGTAAGGGGAGAGAGAAAAGCAGAGCGGTTGTCAGAAGGGAAAAGGGGCACCACGCTTCCCCCACACCATGCCCACTTCCATCCATCACCACAGGCAGCTGCAAAGCCAAGGGAAGGCAGGTGGCAACTCCCCATGAGCTGGGGGGAGCACAGATTCCCCTTCACTCATCCCAAAATAGGGCCACTCTCCCTGCCATCCTGCAGCCAGCTGGCCCACGAGGCTTGCAAGCACTCAGACACCCTCCAGGAGCCCAAGAACCCACCTCACCTGGACCCGCTGGTACTGATGTAGTCCTTGGTGCCTGCGGGCGCAATGGGCACAAAGCCAGCCAGCTGGTTCCCCCGTGCCAGGAGGAAGGGCAGGGCAAAGCGGCCGCTCATGGAGGGGCTGACGAGAACGGGCCTCTGCATGCCCAGCTCCTGGAGGACATGGTCCAGGAAAGCCACCTGGCCCTGCGCCGTGGCCACTGCCTCTGCTGGGGGCGAATCCCCGTAGCCTGACGTGGGGCAGAGAGCACACGGTGGGTGCAAGGCTGGGGGCATCCTGCCAAGGCTCAGCTGGCTTAGCAAAAAAGTCACTCGGTGAAGCCCCAGTTAGCTGTACAGCCACCCACCAGCTGCACTGAGCCAACCCCAGCTAAAGGGTGTGCATGGCCATGGAGGTTAATGCCTCGGGCCAAAGACAAGTCCCAGGCACGGCTGTCCCAGGGGCCACTGCTAGCTACCTGAAGAGATCCAGAGCCCTCCCTAAAGGGGTCCAGAGCCCAGAAGCGGCCGAGGTGAGGGCCTGGAACTGCCAGAGGGATCAACATAAGCGCAGTGCCATGGTCCTACCGGGCAGATCTATCGCGACCGCGCGGTAGCCTTCTCTGGCGAGCAGCGCCAGTGTGCCCAAGGCCTCCCACGTCTTGGAGGTGAACGCCTGGCCATGCAGGAGCAGGATGTCAGGCCTGTGCAGGGAAGACGGGCGGGGAGGGCTTCAGGGAAGGTGCCACGCCTGCACACATCCGGCAGGTGAAGACAGGTCCCTGGGGCCCATCACCCCACACCTTCTTGGAGTGACCCACCTCCCAGGGCTGGCGGCGCCGCTGGCCGGGGGCCCTGCAGAAACCTCCCTGTAGAAGACGGGGG